AAAGATTGTGAAGAACAGCAACTTGGCTGGTCCCCTTCCCCAACACTGTTCCCCTTCTCCAATTCCCCAATTAAAAAAAAAAAAAAGCTTCCTTATCACCAGAAGTCAAAACTATAAATGGGAAATTGTTTTAATTTAGTCATAATTTTTCTTGAGAAAACCTTTTGAACACAGGGAATAATTCCTAGAGTTCTCAAAAGAATAAGAGCTTCTAGGACATGCTTATTTGCAAGTTGTTCTTTCATACATGGCTATTAGATCAGAAGAGATTATAAAAAATGTATACAAAGAAGTAAAGATTATATATAAATAATCCTGAATCCCTCAAATGATATCATGGCTGAAAAATAAATATTTACAGAAATGACCCCCAAAATTTCAGGGCAAATTAAATTAAACCACATCTATCATTTATCATTTTTGTTAATGTTTTGTTTCTTCATTCAGAAGTTACATAGATTGACTGCCTCCAGGAGGTATTACTTGAAACACTCAGACTTTAACTGACGAGTGTGACACCAGGAAAGGGTAATGTCCATACTTTTTCCTTTGAGGTTTAAATTAATTTAGCATCCAAAATTTTTTTCTTAACAAATACGGTTTATATTATCCATTCAAATCCTATCACTGTGAATAAACATTATTGTACAAATAATCCAAGAGAAGAAACGTGCTTTTCCATTCATGTTTAGCAAGATAATTTCCATTAGAAAATAATAAAGGACAAGGAAATTTACCTAGAGCCAAGTTAACAAAAAGTATCTTTCTAATCAAAACATTAATAATAACATTATTAAAACACATTAATAATAGTTTAAATAATTTAAATTACCTAATATAGTACCCTAGTAAAACTATCTGAATTTTATGAGTTGAATCTCACAGATTCAAGGTAGTACTAGTTTAAATGTGCTCAGATACTAAGAAATCTGTTAACTGTTATTAGGCAAGTATCCTTTTTTGCAATCTCAGTAATACCACCATGAAGGGAAAAAGAAGACAAGCATAAAAACACTTCCCTCTATCTACAACGGTAAACACCACAAATCTATTCTATAGGTATAAAGAAAAGTTTAGTTTAAGTGAAATTGCTTTGACACCTAAACCAATTATCAAAGCTTTTACTGATCATTTTAGATCATGATTAAAAAGGTTTAAGGGAAATAAATCCTCAATATCAGAACAGAACAATTCTTGTTAAAAAGAAGACAATCTTCTAAAATATAATTATAATCAAGGACTCACAGAAAACATTTCTCATGAAAGAGTCAGTCATAACCAGTAATCAAGTGCTGTTACAATACAGAGGAAGGAAGAAAGAAATATGTGAAGATCAAAATTTATCACTTACCTCATGATTCAGCTCTGCTATCTGATCTTTCAGTTCCCTAATATACTGGTTAGAATCACACTTGTTAAGCTGTCCTTGGAGCTTTCCTTCTTCTTTCTGTTTTGTGACAATATAACAAAGCAAAAACAAAAGACAACTTTTACAGTATGTTCTCAAATATTTGAGAACATAGCACAGCATCAGGATATATCATTTAATTGGCTAAATTCTGAACAAATTTGTTCTCAAACTATCTCTGAAAAATAATTCATAGTAAACTATACTGAATATTTCTAAATAACGCTTAATGGAACTTGTTTCAATAAATACAATTTACAAAACGTACCTTTTGAGAGTCTCTTAGAAATCAATAGTTAAATGGATCTACTAGTGAAAAAATTACTCTAGAATTTCAAAGCCATTGTTTAGTTATTTTGAGGGCAATTGCTTTTCTCTCCACAAGAGACGGATTCAATGCTTAGATGAGAAGGCGGTGAGCCTCTCACAGCTACACTGCGAATCTTCTTTTGCTTGGGGAACAGAAAAGGAAGAATAAAGAAGTTTCTCCAAATCACCTGAAAAGGGGAGGACAGCTCTGAATCTCTTCTATCTAATTAGCTCAGGAATGTGTGCTGGGAGTCCTAGATGTATCTGATTAAATGTGTTCCGCTCCTAAGAGATAGTTCCAGAACCATGTAGGGACCATTTTCCAGGGATATAGATTGGAAAGGGGAGGAGCTGTCTTTTTCTTATAACCCCTGAAAACAAATGGGAACTTTTAAGATAAAGAACTTAACTAGAGAGAAAACAGAATTGCTTTTGATATCTCCAGATTACATGTAATTAGGAAGCCATGTGTGATGCTTAAAATGTTAAGAAACTCTGATTCAGAGATATCTATTGATACCAGAAAAGGACTGGGTTAGTTTAATAGTCACCTACTACCCAGTTTCCTTCCATGGAGACAACCACTGTTAATAGTTTTTAGTGTAGTCTTCCCATGAGATTTTGTACACATATAATCAAACACACATGGATACACACTTAGTTTTACTCGTACTATAGATACTACACACTCTTCTATATTTGCTATTATCTCTCAAGAACACAACTGGAAGATCAGTCAGTATTAGTACGTGTACAGCAGAAGGATAAACATTTTGATGTGAGAGAGCTTTGAAGGTCCTGTAAAAGTTATCTTACTGTGGGCTGAATAGTTATAGGTTTTTTAAAAGCAGGTTTTAAAATGTGCCTTAGGTCCTATAAAGTTACCTTAAGAGCAATGGGTTGCAGTGAAGAACATTTTCCAATGTGGAGATCCCTACTGCTATCTTTCCACTCACAGTAAGAATGGACTTAGGACATCACCTGGTTTTTTGGTCCTTTGACTGCAGCCAAAACAACCCTCTTCTTTCCTTCTCCACACCCTCCCCTAACATTCTTGGCAGAAACAGGAACTAAGTGAAACTGCCCCTGTCACAGAATGGGGAGCTCTTCTGCAGAGTCAGGGCACCATTCCAACAGGATCGCTCTTCCATGCTAACTGTCCTCGCCACCGCCAGTGCCCTCTTACATCCGTCCGTTTGGTCTGTTCTTCAAATCATTTCATCAGGTTAATCCTATAAGCCCCTCCCCCTTTTTGTTCTTTTGCTTTTGGCAGCCTGCCTTAAAAGCCTTTTGTTGGAATATGGTCTGCTGAAGCAGTTTGATATATGTACAGATGTAAAAGAACAACTATAGTTCCTACAGGCTGTAAAGCTTTTCTTATGTATTTAAACACACAAACATCACATATAAATCACCTAAGCAAAGAACTAATTTAACAATTACTATATTCCAAATGTGCTAGGCTTCTTAAATATGTACAAAAGACACCTTATGAATGTTAGCCATAAGCACAGATTTAAGAAAAAGAAATTTTTTAAAAAATTTAAAGTATTAGTTTGACAGCCAAAGAAGGCTGTCATTAGTTTGAAAGAACCAACAGAAGAGCAGAAATACCAAGTCAGAGTCCTAATTAAACAATCTCTGAAGCTTTCAATACTGTTTTAATTTATATGAACCAATAAATTCCCTTTATTATTTGAACCAGTTTGCCTATGGGCTTCTGTCACTTGCAACCATAATAGCTAAAATATTTTGAGCACTTATCAGACCTTCTCCATTGAGGGTCCCCAAAGGAGTTAAGCCCTAACTCCTAAAGCATCATTGTAGGTAGTGATTTAACTTATCTCCTATGCATCTAAAACGTTATTACGTACTATCCTTAGGAGAATTGAGAAAATAGTCATTTATATTATTTTCCATAGGACTTAATTCTCTTGTGGAGCCCTGGTGGATAAAGACTGGGGCTTACAATGTACTAGGAATTGTTCTAAGCCCTTTACATGTCATCATCACAACAACCCTTTGTAATATTAATAGATAACTTTTATTCCTACTTCACAGATAAGGAAAAACTTACATGAAAGATTGAGTGAAATGGTTGCCTAAGAGTCACAGAAAGGTTGATACATTTTTCACCTTATACCATTCTGAACATGAGAAACAATGAAGCAAACAAGAATATATGGAGATTTATGCAAAGGACCACACAAATTAGCTTTCTTGGATTTGTTACAAAAATCTCATGTATTTTTTTTAAATTAAAGTTTATTGGGGTGACAATTGTTAGTAAAGTTACATAGGTTTCAGGTGTATGATTCTGTGATACATCATCGATATTTCACATTGTGTGTTCATCCCCCAGAGTCAGTTCTCCTTCCATCATCATATATTTGATCCCTTTTACCCTCATCTGCCACTAAACTATTGTCTGTGTCTATGAGTTTTTATTTCTTCATTTGTCTTGTTCCTTTGTTGTTTTCAGTTTTATATACCACATATCAGTGAAATCATATGGTTCTCAACTTTTTCTGTCTGACTTATTTTGCTTAATAATCTCAAGATCTATCCATGTTGTTGCAAACGGCACTATTTCATCTTTTCTTATGGCAGAACAATATTCCATTGTGTATCTATACCACATCTTCTTTATCCAGTCATCTATTCAAGGACACTGGTTGTTTCTATGTCTTGGCCACAGTAAATAAAGCTGCAATGAACATCAGAGTGCATATATCTTTACAGATAAATGTTTTCAGATTTTTGGGGTAGATAACCAGGAGAGGGATTACTGGGTCATATGGTAATTCTATTCTTAATTTTTTGAGGAACCTCCACACTGCCTTCCATAGCGGCTGACCAATCTGCATTCCCACCAACAGTGTATAAGTCTTCCTTTTTCTTCACAGCCTCTCCAACATTTGTTATTATTTGTCTTGTTGATGATAGCCATTCTAACTGGTATGCAGTGATATCTCATTGTGGTTTTTATGTGCATTTCTCTGATGATAAAATCTTATGTCTTTACTTGAATATTTATTTTAGCACTCTCTGATTTAAATGGGAATTGCAATATAAAAAGAATTAAAGATGAAATGCTATAGTTACTTGCATTTATGGCACTAAGCTAATAATACATATTATTAATTTACAGTTGTCCAATTCCATTTACATGTACTTATGTCTGTATCTTAGTTCTAACCACTCTATTTTTTGTTTCTTTAATTTTATTGGGGAATTGGGGGAGGTGAACAGCATTGGGGAATTGGGGAAGGGGAACAGACAAGTTGCTGTCCTTTTTGTTCTTCTGTCTAGTTGTGGAGGACATCGCTTCACTGGCCCATGTTGGTATTATCATTGCGCTCTTCCCGGGTGAGGCAGTTGCTTGCCGGCCATTGGACGGCTGCTCACGGCGGCTCAAGGTAGCTCGCAAAAGCTCACACCAGCTGCCAGCTAGCCCCACTGCAGCCTATGCTGTCGCCGGTGACTCACAGCAGCCCAGCTCCAGGTTGAGTTGTTGTTCACCATCTTAGCTGTAGGGGGAGCAGTGTCACTGGCCCTCATATGTGATCCAAGCTGGGGCCCTGCTGCTCAGAGCTGGCATCCCAAGCCAACTCCTAACCAACGCACCACTTGGCCAGCCCATAACCACTCCCCTTTTTAAATAAAATACTTCAAAGGCACAGAACAAGAACAAAAGAGTAATATCATAAAGACTAATGAACCCACCACCCAAATTCAGTCTGTTTCATGACTATCTTCTCCTAAGATTTTCCTTGGTTATAGACTTACTTCATCTCAGTCCTGTAAATCCCAGAGTGGGAAAGGATGATGTCAAGTAGAAGGGAATAAGTAGTGAGTGAATGAAGTGAGAAGGAAGAATATAGGAAAGAAAAAAATATATATGGAGGGAGACTATTAATTGATGTAAAATAAAAGAAGTCATTATTCTTATGAAATATATTTTCCAAGTATCATATGTGACATGAGAAACGGCAGCAGCAACTAAGTAAGTAGATATACTCGTACTTCCAAAGGGGACTAATTTGATGAGAATTACTCATTTGGATATATGTGTTCAGCTAAAAACTTTGTTATAGAAGCTTTATTTCTTTGGAGGAAAAGCAGTATTTAATAAACAATGTGGCAGCTAACAAATTTTTCAATAAAAAAATGGAAGGTTTTGATTTTTAAAAAGAAAAAAAGGACTCCTGAAAGATACGTGTGGAAACCAAAGGAGTCCTCTTAGATTTTATGACTAAAAAAATCCCAGACGTTCCTTGAATATTCATTAATTGTAGAAAAAAGACAGAATTTCAAAGAGAAAAATTTTATATAGTTGATTAAATCCAATTGTATATAGTTGTTCTTTTTAGATTTAAAT